CTCCCCTCTGTAAACCCAGACAGGGGAGAAGCGGTGGAGGATAGAGGCCAAGCAGGCTCCTTTCCTTCAGGACTCTCCTCCTGCACCCTTTCTGCAACAGGGACACCCTCGTCATCATCCCACAGCGGTTGGGGTCTTGGGTTTGGGGGGCACAGGCGCACGGGCATCCCCACAAGCTCTGGGTGCTTGCGTTTGTAATGGCGCCGGAGAGTATTGGCCTCGGTGAAGCGCACCCTGCAGGAGGGGCATTGATAGGGACGCTCGCCAGAGTGGATGCGGTGGTGATGTGCGAGCTCCCCCGCCTCGCGGAAGCGGCGAGGGCAGAGCACACAACGGAAGGGCCGATGGCCAGCATGGATGTTGCAATGACGCCGCAAGTGGCTGGACCGTTTGAAGGTCTTGCCGCAATCTTTGCACACGTGTGGCTTTAACTCTGAGTGTGAGATGCTGTGGCGTTCCAGGTCGGAGAGGTAGGGGAAGGCTCTCAGGCACACAGGACAGAAGTGTGGAGCCCTCTTGGGGCCAGAGCCCTGGGGCCCATCTGCTGCTGAGCCTTCGGGAACTGTGTAAGGAACGCCCTGATCATCGATCAACAGAAGATCGTTGCTGCCACCACTGTCCACTGGTGCTGTCAACGGGGCTTCCTGCAGTGATTTGGGGGGGCGGCCCCGCTTTCGAGGGAGGGAGGACTTGAGAGTCCGATTGGAGGTGGCGGCTCCCCCTGGTGGCCGGCCTCGGCGGCCCCGGGGAACAGGAGGAAGTAAGGCCAGAGGTTTTTCTTCCTCCCCAGACAAAGTTGAAGGCAACGGGTCTGAGCTGGGGTTGTCCATTGAGCAGTGGGGAGCTTGAGTCTGGGTACCGGAGCCGGCTAAGAGAAGAGAGGGGGTGGCGTCAGTGCGGTGAGGGTCTGAGCCGACAAGTGCCCCAATAATTCATCTATCCCTTCTAAGTCTTTTGAGACCCATATAACAAGACAATTCTCTACAAGGTGATAAGACATACTTACTGCCCTCCTCCAAAGTGTATCGGGACTCCCTAACCCATCCTTTGAATCTAGGCTTTCTGTCATGGCAGTCTGAATGAGAATGACCACACTCCCCACCCCGGTTGTTCCCCCCACCCCCGATAGGCGCCTATGTTTGAATGTCTGGTTCCATTAGTGGAATTGTTTGGGAAGGATTAGGAGGTGTGGTGTTGCAGAATATTTGTACACTGTGTGAAGATGTGTCATTGTGATTGGCTTAATAGAAACCTGAACAGCCAATAGCTAGGCAGGAGAGGTTAAGGTGGGACTTCTAGGCGGAGAGGAACCCAGGGTTAGAATCTGGCCTGGCAGGAGAGCCAGTGAGATGCTAAAGAAGTTGGGAAGGAGCCGGGCGGTGGTGGCGCCCGCTTTTAATCCCAGCACTCGGGAGGCAGAGACAGGCAGATCTCTGTGAGTTCGAGGCCAGCCTGGTCTACAAAGCGAGTTCCGGGAAAAGCGCAAAGCTACACAAAGAAACCCTGTCTCAAAAAACCAAAAAAAAAAAAAAAAAAAAGAAGAAGTTGGGAATGCAGTACAGAGGAGAGGTAACCGAGCCACATAGCAGAATGTAGATTAATAGAAACGGTTTAATTTAAGTTATAAGAGCTAGTTGGGAAAAAGCCTACGCTAAGGCCAAGCTTTCCTAATTAAAAATAAGTCTCTGTGTCGTTATTTGTGAGCTGGCAGCCCAAAGTAAAGTCGGAATACAGTGTGGCCTTGATGGAGTAGGTGTGGCCTTGTTAGAGGAGGTGTTTTGAGATTTGAGCTTTGAGATTTCAAAATCCTACACCAGGCCAATCTCCTTCGACCTGAAATTTATGGATTAGATGTGAGCTCTTGGCTACTGTTGGGCACCTATCAGCCTGTTGGCCACCATGCTCCTGACCAAGATAATCATGGACTCACCCTCTGAAAATATAGGCAAGCCCCCAATTAAATGCTTTCTTCATAAGTTGCTGTGGTTATGGTTTTTCATCATATCAGTAACTACTATAGCCTTTAAGGTCAAAACGAGCCAGAAAGAAAAAAAAAATCCAGCTGAGAGTGAGGGCCTTGAAACAGTCCAGAGTGGGCCACAAAGGCCTCCAAAAGTCCTCACCCCTGCAGAGATGGGGAGGTCTGAAAAGGGGCGGTCCTACGCAAAATCTGTTGATACGTGAAGGGCATATATCCAAGTTGTTAAGAGTCTGGGCTTTGGAGTCAGATAACCAGAAATCAAAAGCAGAATCTGTCCCTTCCTCTCTGTGTGGCACTAGCCAAGGTCCTTACTTCTCTGGGCTCATTTATGTCCTTTGCAAGATGGCACTCGGGGTTTGTCTGTTTGCTTTTCTTCCTTATTTATTTTGTTGTTGTTGTTAACCTACTAAGCCGGACACGCTGTGAATGGAATATACAAAAGCCAGCAGAGCAGCATGGGTAGCTAAGCTTCACACCAGCCCTTTGAGGAAACACATTCTCTGTTTTGCAAACAGGGAAACCAAGCCACAGGAAAACGAAGTGAGTTCTTAAAGTTCTCTCTGCCAGTAAGTGACAATGATCCCAAATCAGTCTAACTGATCTCAGTGGCCCGGGAAATGAGAAAGACTAGGAAGACTAGGGTGTGTGTGTGTGTGTGTGTGTGTGTGTGTGTGTGTGTGTGTGTGTGTGTGTGTGTGTAGGGGGACATCTCGAGGTCTCCCGGTCCTCGGTTTGGATCCCGTTCTGCACGTGACTGCAAGTGGCTTTGCCTCTGAGTCAGCTTCCTTCTCTGTAATATCAATATACCGAGGTGGTGGGGAGAATCGACAGGAGTAAGGAAGTTTCAAAAATGTCCTTAGTACACTCCCTGAAATACAGAAAGCCTCCAAAAAAATACGACTCTCACTTCTCAGTGCCCAGAAGATCTCGGGACTGTGGGAATTAGATTGTACTTGGGGGGACAGGGGAGCTACAGGTGCAGCTCTATGCCAGGGCACCCCTCTTTCAACTGTTTTGTTGTTTGGTTTCTAGGTTTCCTTTGTGTGGGGGGCTGGTTCACCGACTCAGGGGCCTCGCTCACACTAGGCCTGTGCTACAACCCCACGCCTTGCACCCCCTTTTAATATGCACACCGCATGAGGTCCACGCAGGAGCAACTTTTTCCAGGATCACATGGTTTTTGCACCATGCGGTAGCCTGGGCAAAGCAGCTGAATTTCTGGAGCATACCTAGGAAGTGAGAGAGGGATCCCCCTCGACCCTCCCCCCACCCACTAGTCCGGGGGGCGGGGGGGGGGGGGAGGGGGAGGGGGACGTGTGCCTGTCAGCCCCGAGTGGCCCAGCCCGCAAGCGGGGCGGGGCCCTCAGGGTGCGGTGGCCAATAAGCGGCGCGGGGACCCTGGCGGCAGGGGCTGCCAGGAGGGGGGGGGGGGTGGTCTGCGCGCGCGCGCATGAGCGCGAGCGCGAGCCCGGACCGCTCGGCGGGGGCGCGGGGTCGGCGCGGGCGCGCAGGGAGGCAGGGAACAGGTGCCGGGGGCGCGCTCGGGCGGGCGGGCGCGCGCCCCCGGGACCACCCCCTTCCCCCTACCCCCCCTCCCGCCCTCCCCTCCCCGACTCCCCGGGGGCCCCCCCCCCCGCCTCTGGGTACCTCATTTGCATGCTGCCTGGGCTCGCGTGTGTGTGCGTGCGTGCGCGCGCGCGCCGGGGGGCGACGGGCCGAGGCGTGGGAAGGGGCGGGGGAGAGGGGGGCCCTGCCCCTAGGCGGCGGCGGCGGCGGCGGCGGCGGCGGGGCGGGGGCGGCGGAGCGCGGGCCGGGCCCCGCCCCTCGCCACGGACGCCGGTGGCCCCGCCCTCCCCGCCGCCCGCCCGCCCGCCCGCGGGGAACAAAGGGGACGCTCTGCGTCCCCAGGCCCAGACGCGCCTGCAGCCCGGTGCGCCTGCGCGCCAGTCGCCTCCGGTTGCCCCTGGGAGAAATAACGCCCGAGATAATCCCCAGCCACCTCCTCCAAATGCCTTCCCTCCCACAAAGCACTCCGACCCGGTGACCCAATCAAAGACAGGTACCGGATGGATGAGAAGCGGGGGATGGCCGCTCAGTGCCCCTAATTAACATGGCGCCCAGTAGCTTCAAAGCCCCGTGGAGTTAAAAGTAGTAAAATGGTGCTTGGTGTTTCCCAACTCCGCATTAGTTTGACCACTTGGATTTCTTTTTTTCTCCTTCTTCCGGATGCAACTCGACAACCTACCCAGCAGGCGTCCGAGTTTAGGAAAAAGGAGTCCTAGCTGCGCCCATCCATGTAAACTTTCTAAGTAAAATCACCGCGGGCTACGAGGAGCCGCGCGCTGTCGCCCTTCGTCTATAGGGCGCCCGGGTACCTTAAGCCCCGCCCCTCCCGCTGCCCTCAACCAAGATGGCGCCAACCTAGCTTCTTTAACCTCCTGGGCTGGGAAAAGGAAGGGAATGTAGAAAGGCCGGGTTGGGGGGGAGGGAAAGGGGAGCCAAGGGGGAAGGAGAAAGGGGGGCTGCGGGGAGGGGGGGGAGCTGGTTGGGGAGAAGGGAGCCGGGGCGGAAGTCGAGGGGCCCCTCAGGTGGAAGTGACGCTGACCCCGCTGCCCAAAATGTCGGCGCCCAGAGGGAGGTGTAAGTAATTAAAGAGGAAAGCCGACAGACTTTCCCGGCCTCCCGGGGTCCTGCCCGGTCTCCGGGACCTCCGCCACGCTAAAGCAAGGTGGTCTCGCCTCGTCCCCGGGCCGCCTGGACCTGCCCCCGACCCGGGCGCCCGAGGCCGCACCTCCTAGGGCCAGGGAGAGGGGTACAAAGGGCTAGTTTTCCGGGCCTGGCTCTACAGATGGAGCAGGGTCGGGGGGGGGGGGTCCCCCCGCAGCACCACACGCAGCGGGGTGCAGGAGGAGGCGGGGCTTGTGGCGGTTGGGGCGTGGCAGCACGGGAGGAGGGGCCTGTTGGGGCGGGGCCTGTAGTGGGAGGGGAGGGGTTTTTGTGAAAGGGTAAGGACTGGTTAGAAAATGGGAGAGGTTTATGCCAAGGGTGGGGCCTGGGAAAGAGGCGTGGGTCCTGAGCAATGGGTGCGGGGGGCCTAGGTTGAAAAATGGAAGGAACTTGTTAAGGTTAGTGGGAAAAATGGGGTCCAGAAAGACAAGAGAGGCCCAGAGTATGGTGTGCAGTTTGACTAAGGTGTGGCTTAGAGAAAAGGCCGCCACGGCAAGGGCACCCCATCTCCCCCCATGTAGGTATGCAATTTTGGGGGAGGTTTTAGTGGAACTATCAGGTCTTTAACATGAAGGTGAACACAGGCTAAGGAAAGGCTGAGAAAATGATAGGGGAAGGAGATGATAGAAAAAAAAATGGGACTTATTTGGAGGAAAAGTTGGGTGGGATTTTGGAGGCAGGTCTCAGCGAAGATCTGACTTAGAAAAGTCAAATTAACTTGGAAGTGCATGGGAATAAAGGAACTAAGAGGAACTTACATATCCAAACTGCTCGGTTAGTTCTTTGCTGTGCCTCGGCCCTCCCTAAGTACGTTGACCGTGTTGCCCCAATTTTACTTAACTCCAACCAATCGCTGTGTGAGGTAGGACTAGTGTACCCATTTCATAGGTGAAGAGTTTCGGTTGGTTGGTTTCATCTGAAGCTGCAGAACCAGTGTGAGCTCCCTACAAGTATGAGACGAATGTGCACAGCCCCAAATCCTTGTGTCACCGTTTCAATAACTTGTCTTTGAAGAAGAGATGTCTGTCGAGGAATACTGAATGCTTAGGGAGCAGAGGGAGCGGCTCGGGAAGAGGCAGCCCAGACCTGAGCAAGAGTAGGAGGGCCTTAATTTGTAGTGGGCAGGGCTTGGAGAGGACTGAGAAAGAGCCTTCAAAAAACTTTGGGAGGAAGAAACGAACGGAAGTGGCCGGGAAGATCGGGAAGGAGGAGAGCTTGTAGAGAGCGGGAGGAATGTAAAGGGCAGTGCTTGTGGCTTGGTGCTTAGGTGTGCCTTAGCATCGGGAGGGTCTCCGGAGGACAAGTGTGTTTCTGAGCCCAGAGAGCTAAGGGAAAGAATGGCCAGTGGGGAGGTGACTCTTACCTGCTTCTGTGCCTCCTCTATACTCCAGAGAAAGCCCCCAGCCACCCCTGGACCCGCCACCATGGACGAGTCCTCGCTGCCTGGGGTTCCTGCCCCTCTTGCTGCCCCAGGGCCAGCACCGTCGGCCACTGCTCCCCGGGTGCCCTTTCACTGCAGCGAATGTGGCAAGAGCTTCCGGTACCGATCCGACCTGAGGCGCCACTTCGCTCGGCATACAGCGCTCAAGCCCCACGCGTGTCCTCGCTGTGGCAAGGGCTTCAAGCACAGCTTCAACCTGGCTAACCACCTGCGCTCACACACCGGCGAGCGGCCCTACCGATGCTCCGCCTGCCCCAAGGGATTCCGAGACTCCACCGGCCTGCTGCACCACCAGGTGAGTCCTGGGAGCCGCACGGGGGGCCGAGACGGTGGGGCTCCGCTCCACTCAGGGAAAGGCAGCAGGAGATGAGAGCATACTCCTTCCCCAGCTTCCTCCTCACAGAAAAGTTCACCTTCCCTTCTACCAAAGCCCAACCAAAGCCTGAGCTCCAGGGAAGGCCTGCAGAGTATGTTTGCCCCACATAATGGTTTCTCCACCTCTGCAGTCTTGTGCTGACCATTCTCTTCCTTACCATCTTGAAAATAGGTTTATCCATGTACACCCAACTCCTTTATTCTAAAGTGACCAACTGAAGACTCAACAGGGCCTTCAGAAAGCTTATTATTCCTTCCAGTGATCAGGAACCAGGTAGCGGGTAAAGAAAGCAGTTTCTGAGAAAAGAGTTCTCTAAGGGAGAAGTTGGGAAGCAAATTTAAAAAAAAAAAAAATTCAGGGCATGGTGATGCATTCTTACAATCCCAGCGCTGGGGGGGTGGAGGCAGGAGGATCAGGAGTTCAAGGTCAGCCTCGGCTACACAGAGTTTGGAGCCAACTCAGGCTATATGAGACATTGTCACAAACAACAAAGCCAAAAGTAATGTGTGGGAGTGAATCGGGGGAGCCGCGGGTCACACTGGACAAGAGGGCGCAGTGACGCCTGATTGAGACTTGAAGCTGGAGAAGTCCACGTGGGAAAAGCATTTGCAGATGGAAATGGCAGTAAGTGGAAAGGCCCCGAGGTGGGAAGGGCCTTGGTGAGTTCACGGGTGTTGCCTTAACTTCTCCTGGGGAGAAACAGCTAACACATTCACCCCAGGGAGGACACCAGAGGAAGACCCAAGTGTAGTTGCACCGAAGTCCAGTTTGGCAAGTCAGAGTTTAATTGGGTTTACTCAGAGCACAGGTGAGGCTTTACAATGTGTGACCCCAAGTAGGTACATTACCACCACAAAGCCCCATGCCACCAGGGATGATGGTCTGGTGGAAGCTGCCTAATGGAGACCCACGTTCAGTTACCTTCTACTTCCTAATACCTCACAAGGTCCCTGGCAGCTGGGGAGAGTAATAGCCGGACTCCCAGGAGCAGCCTTGGCTTCCTGGCTCAGGTATTCTCCAAGATAGACACAAACAAAACCAACCAGGATCTTAACGCCTATGCTGTTGGGAACCCCCTGGTTGGGACACTGTTCAGTACACTGTGAAGTGGTCCATTTGGCAAAGGGAAAAAGCGGAGTGTTCACAGAGAAGAGACAGAGATGGGATTTGAACTCAGGCCTGTGGATGCCTAGAGCCCTGGCCATAGCTATGTTCTGTGGGAATCAGTTCCTAGATGAGCGAGTTGAGAGGGAACAGTGACAGAGGTGGCCGGTGTAAGGGACTCGGTCCGCACGGAGAGAATGCCAGCTGGCCTGTAGCCGGGCTGGCCTGCGGAGTTGGGGTCCCCTTTTGAGGCTCCTACTCTCTTGGACAAAAGAATTTAAAAGCAGTTAGAAGCTTAAGAATCATTTTATTAGAATTTGAAAGAAAAATCATAGGAAAGGGCAGCTGTAAACTTGGCAGCTTTGGGGCGTGGCTGGGGGCTGGAGAGGCAGAAGGGGGGGAGCGAGAAAGACATACCTTTCTAGTTAGTCCAGGAGAGAAGGCAGCAGGTTCATCACTGAAGGTCTGCAAGCAGCTTCGTGGGGATGCCTCTTCAGACAGAGTGACGTAGTCCAGTGTCAGGACCGGCGTGCTGAGGATCTGGGCTGGTATCCGGAGAAGAGACAGAAAGTAGAACAGGAGCTGGGTGGTGGTGGCACAGGCCCTTAATACCAGAACTCGGGAGGCAGAGGCAGGCAGATCTCTGAGTTCAAGGCCAGCCTGGTCTACAAAGCGAGTTCCAGGACAGCCAGGCCTGTTACCCAGAGAAATCTTGTCTCAAAAAACCAAGAAAAGCACACAGCCCAGGGAGGGCTTCTGAAGAGGATGAGTATGTTACCTCATTAAGGAGATAATTATTCCTCCCATCTTCCTAGCTGTTTCTTGGCCAGGTAATTGACAGGCCCAGTTGGATGAACTCTTAGGGAGAAGACAGTAGTACATAGTGTTAGAAGGAATTTAGAATGTAGTGTCTCCATCCAGACCCAAAGTAGAATTTAGAAATTTAGATCCTATTCTTCTTTTTTTTTTTTTTTTAGATTTATATATTTATTGTGGGTATGGGTGTTTTGCTGGCATGTATGTCTGTGCACTCCATTCACTCCTGGTGCTCCAGTGGGTAAGAAGAGGGCATCGGATCCCCTAGAACTGGAGCTACAGACAGTTGTGAGCTGCCATGTGGGTGCTAGGAATCGAACCCAGGTCCTCTGCAGGAGCAACAAGTTCTCTTAACTGCTAAACTATCTCTAGCATCTCTGTTCTTTCTTTCTTTTTTTTTTTTTTTTTTTTTTTTTTGGTTTTTTGAGACAGGGTTTCTCTGTGTAGCTTTGCGCCTTTCCTGGAACTTGCTTTGGAGACCAGGCTGGCCTCAAACTCACAGAGATCTGCCTGCCTCTGCCTCCCAAGTGCTGGGATTAAAGGCGTGTGCCACCACCGCCCCTCTGTTCTTTCTTTAAAATATTTTTTATTTCATTATTTGTTGTTTGATTGATTATTTTGTGACTGGGTTTAATGATGTAGCTCTGACGGGCTTCCAACTCACAGGATTGGCCTGCCTCTGCTTCCTGTCCCTCAAGTGCTGGAATTAAAGGCTTGTACCGACGTGCCCCGCTCCGTTATTTTTATACAGGGTAGGATGTGGCACATCTCACCTTACAGGAGTTGGTCCTCTCTCTTTCCACCATATGGATCCCAGGGACCAAACTCAGGTCACCAGGCTTCGATGCAAGTATCTTTACCCGCTGGACCGTGTTGCTAACCCAGATTCAATTCTTCTGGCTAGGAGGAGGTAGCTTTCATGTAAATGACCTCGATGAAGCCCTCCTACTTCTTCTTCATGGTACTTTAACTTTTCATGAGGGGCACTTGTGAAGCTTTCCTTAACAAGGAAATGGGGTCCCTTCCCGGTGGCCTCCGCGCCTGCTGATGCCTGTCTAGTGACCTAACAGAGGACCGCGGGTGAAAGCTAGACCATCCTGGGAATCTGCTGCCCGGCCTGGATGCTCAGCCCTGCCTCTCTGCTCTTGCTCCCAGGTCGTCCACACTGGTGAGAAGCCCTACTGCTGTTTGGTCTGCGAACTCCGCTTCTCCTCCCGCTCCAGCCTGGGCCGCCACCTCAAGCGGCAGCACCGGGGCGTGCTTCCCTCCCCGCTGCAGCCGAGCCCCGGCCTGCCTCCCCTGAACTCCCCCTGCTCAGTGTGTTGCAACGTGGGTCCCTGTTCGGTTTGTGGAGGCGGAGGGGCCGGCGGAGGAGAGGGCCTGGAGGGAGCAGGAGCGACCAGCTGGGGACTGGCCGAGGCGGCAGCCGCCGCGGCGGCCTCGCTGCCCCCGTTTGCATGTGGCGCCTGTGCCCGGCGCTTTGACCACGGCCGGGAGCTGGCTGCCCACTGGGCCGCGCACACCGACGTGAAGCCATTCAAGTGCCCACGCTGCGAGCGCGACTTCAACGCGCCGGCGCTGCTGGAACGCCACAAGCTTACGCACGACCTGCAGGGGAGCAGTGCACCCCCAACGCAGGTCTGGGCCTCGGGTGGGGGTCCGGAGGAGGTGGCAGGAGATGTCGAGGCAGTGGAGGTGGGGGATGCTCCGCCGACCTGGGACGCCGGGCTGCTCCTGAGCCCCACTGGGGCAAGCATGCCTAAGCTGGAGGCACTGCTCCCCGAGGGCGAGGGTGCGGAGAATGCCCGGGCTCCGGCCGCAGCAGCCGAGGCGTCCTCGGAAGACACACTGTACCAGTGCGACTGCGGGACCTTCTTCGCGTCTGCCCCGGCCTTGGCCAGCCACCTAGAAGCGCACTCGGGCCCAGCCACCTATGGCTGCGGCCACTGCGGGGCCTTGTACGCAGCGCTGGCCGCCCTGGAGGAGCATCGGCGTGCCAGCCACGGTGAGGGCAGCGGGGAGGCGGCCCCTGATGGCGAGGGCGAGCAGGCGGCTGGAGGGCCGGGGCCCGGCTCCTCCAGCCGTGGCAAGAAAATCTTTGGCTGTTCCGAGTGCGAGAAGCTGTTTCGTTCGCCTCGCGACCTGGAACGGCATGTGCTGGTGCACACAGGGGAGAAGCCCTTCCCGTGCCTGGAGTGTGGCAAGTTCTTCCGCCACGAGTGCTACCTCAAGCGCCACCGGCTGCTGCATGGCACAGAGCGGCCCTTCCCCTGCCACATCTGTGGCAAGGGCTTCATCACGCTCAGCAATCTCTCTAGGCACCTGAAGCTGCACAGGGGCATGGACTGAATAGCCAGGCCACTCCGGCCCTCCAAGTCCAGAGCTAGACCATGAGATGAGGCCCTTGCCTGGAAAAATGGTGCCACCCACAACCCACACAGGACCACAGTGAAGCATCCTTCGGCAAAGGGGTCCAAGGACATAATTGTTGGGGACTGAAATCTACAGAGAGACTCTCGACTTTGAGACCCCTGGAATGGGGGCATGCTCAAATCAACTGGCCTCCGAGACCGGGAACCTAGGAATAAAAAACGGGTCTCTACTAACACCTCCCAGCAGATAATATGTGGGCACCCCCACGGTCCTACCACCCACTCCCTGAGAGCCATCATTCCCAACGACGATGTTCATCTGGGGGATGTCGGGGCCAATACCTTGGAATCCTCAGGATCCCCTCCAGATGACACCCGTCAGCCACTGGTGGCCCCAGAAAATGAGTATAGCCAGAATCTGCCTTTCCCCCATTTTACTTCCTATGCTGAAAGAGGACCAGGGTAGATGCCCCCACCTTTCATTAACCTACTCTCAAGATTAGGTCTCCCTTACTGCAGAATGGTCTGACCCTACTGATCTCCCCTCATCTTGAACACTAGTTTAGACTGGCCCAAAGTCCCTGCCCTGTAGGTTGGATTGACCCAGATACACATATTCCTGTGCACTTGGAATGGGCTGGTGCAGGTCGTGGCCTGGCTCCACTCTCCTTAGAGTAATAGGGCAGACATTCCCTTAAGCTGTAGAGCGCAGTCCTCTGTCCACGGTTGTCCCAATCCTGTGACCTGGTGGAGGTGGTAGACATTGGGGTCTCCCTCGCCTCAACTGTAGTACCTGTTGGTCTTTCCATCACTACCAACTGTCTCTGTGTTCCAACCCCAAGAGGAAAGGGGGACTTGGCTAGGGTTTCTCTCCCGTGAGCCTCGACCTCACCCCCTGGTCTCTCCAATGTCTCTGGGACTCCAATAAACCTCATTCTGTCAGTCACTACTGTCTTGTTTACTGATCCTGGGTTTCAGGGAGGTGGGACTCTCTCCCTCTTGGACTTAGAATATGTCCCCTAGGACATAGAGAGACGGCTCAACAGTTAAAAATGCATACCATCGGGATCAGAGTCCAGTTCCTGGCACCCACATCAGGCTGCTCATAACCACCTGTAACCAAGCTCCGGCGGATCCAGTATTCTCTTGTGGCCGCCATGAACATTGCACTCACATGCACAAACTCACATACATATGCACATCATCCTCCATGAGCATTGCACTCACACGCACAAACCCACAACACATCATTTCTTTTTAGTCTTTAAAAAAAGAATAGGTTCACTAGATATCGGTCTTTGAGGGAGAGTCAAGAGTTCCTGCCCCTTTCTGTGGATTTATAAGCAGTTAATGGTTGGTAGGGGGTTTGGGGGGTGGGGTGATGACTCACAAGGTCCCACCACTCCCTGAGCATAGGCAGTTAAGACTAGTGGGGAAGGGAGAGACACTTTCCTCAGTGTAGTTACTGCTAAGTTGCCCACACTCCTGTAAGTACCTAGATCCCCAAACCCTCTCAAGAAGGTTTGTGTACTTCGATCCTTTTTAAGTCCTTCAGATCAGAGACAGTTTGCATCTCACCTAAGTGGCACCATCTAGAAATCAAGAGACACCCCCACAGGACATGTCCCTTGGAAACCAAGCAGTCTCTGGAAGAGGCTCCAGGCCTTAGAGTCTGTTTTCTGGCGATGAATGTGTACCGCCTGGGACAGGACCAGCCCATCAGAGCAGAGGGCCGCTCACGCATGCCCCATGGCACTCCTGTGCTGTGCATCCAGACTGAGCCTTCTGAACTCCGGATCGTAGAGCCCGCACTGAACAAAGCAGAGAATACTATTCCAGCGTGCGGGCAGTGCTCGGGGAGAGGGAGGGAGGAGTCAGACAAAGATGCTGATGGTGAGGAGCACCTTCGCAGCAAACGAGGAAGAGCATTGAGAAAGTGGCCGCAGCTGCTTCAGGTGTGGGCCTGTTACTGAAGACCTTGAGAAGTGCAACGCCAGCCTGGATGGCTTAGAACCCGACTCAGTAGTGAAAGGTTGTGCTGGGGAGAGAGCTCAGTCGGTGGAGGCGTAACTGAAAAGATGAGGGCCTGAGTTTAATCTCCAGAGCTCCCATCTTAAAATTCCAGATGTGGTGAAGCTGGAGAAACAGAAATAGGATCCCTGGGGTTCACTGTTCAGTCCGTCTAGCCTTATTCATGAGGTCCAGGCTAGCAAGAAAGCCTACCTCAAAGGACATGAACACACTGCCATCGATGGCACCTGAGGTTGTCTTCTGGCTTCTTTCCACACACACGTGACACTCCTATACATAACTGTACCCGAACACACACACACACACACACACACACACACACACACACACACACACACACCAATTTGGAGGAAAAGATTGGAAAGAGTTGGGGATGAAGTTCAATGGTAGAATGCCTAAAATTTACCAGTGAGGAGCTGGGGCGGGGTGGGATGAGTGGTAGAGGCTTGCTTAAGATGCATCGAAGAGTGCCTGGGGGTGTGGCTCAGCGATAGAGCTCTTCTTGCCGAGCATTCCCCAGTGAGGGACCAGGGTGTGACTCAGTGCTAAAGTGCTTGCCTAGCATCACCTGCAACATCCTAAATCCAATCACACACACACACACACACACACACACACACACACACACACACACACACACACTGAATAGCCAGAGCACACCATCTTAGATAGGATGGCCCAGAGGGCTTCTCCATTAGCCTGGTCCTTGAAGGGGGACTTGTTGGAGATACCTAGATAGGTACAGGAGGAGAATGAGTTCAAGAAAGGAGGGAAGAAGGAGTTGGCCTCCACTGTTGCTAGAGTTTTCCTGCCTGGCCCACAGTCAGGACAAATCTCTCTCACCTGCCAGTCCCACAGCCGCTCAAATCCAACCAAATAAACACAGAGACTTATATTGGTTACAAACTGTATGGCCGTGGCAGGCTTCTTGCTAACTGTTCTTACAGCTTAAATTAATCCATTTCCATTAATCTATACCTTGCCACATGGCTCGTGGCTTACCGGCATCTTCACATGCTGTTTCTCATCATGGCGGCTGGCAGTGTCTCTCTGACTCAGCCTTCCACTTCCCAGCTCTCTTCTCCTCCTTGTCCCGCCTATACTTCCTGCCTGGCCACGGGCCAATCAGTGATTTATTTATTGACCAATCAGCAACACATTTGACATACAGACCATCCCACAGCACTTCCCCTTTTCTTTTCTTAAAAGGGAAGGTTTTAACCTTTACACATCTCCAAAGTCAGCTTGGTATATTTGGGAATTTGGGCGTAGCTTCTCTTACTACTTCCTGCTGGAGGGGGGCGCTGTATCTTCTGGGGAAACAAAGAAAATTTTAGGATCATGGAGTAGTCCGTGAGGCTGTATCGTCTGAGCTAGTTGCCTTGAAACCATTCTGAATGTTGGATCATCTGGGCCTCGGTGTCACCTTTCAGGGGGTCTTGGCTGGTCAAACCTGATGTATCTTAATCTGGAACAAATCCATAGCCTCTGGCTTTCTGTGGGAATAAAAGCAGAGTCTCCTTTCCAAAGCAACATATCCTTATATTCAAATTTTGAAGTCAAGGTACCTTTAAAATATACATATTGGTTTAACTCAACATCTTTTACGATCAAATGTTTTTCTGCAGTTAAAAATCCCAAAGACAACACAATCCAGATTCTCTGTGTAATATTCATCTTTACATGGCTTATTTTTTATATTAATTTTACTGTCTCTTTAAAGACTTTATTTTTTTAAACTATGTATTTCTTTATATAACTGTATATATCACCATATATCACCTTTTTTGTCTCTTTCAAGCCTATGTATATTTTACACACATTGTAAACTATTACATCTGAATCTGTCTTATTGTGAATCTATTGCTTTAAACTGCAGCATTTGCAAGACTGAAATGGTACTATGGCTGCTGGCTCCGCCCACCTCAGCTTCCCAACATGGCGGCGGTACGTTTTCCCGCCAGCTCTGGGAGCTATCGTGGGTCTATGCTTTTATCCAAGCAGTGTGTATTCCAAAAACCTCTTTTTTTGTTTTGTACTAGCAAAGGCTAAATCCACATTCTCCATCACATCTCTGTGCTAAGCGACCCTTCTGTGCTAGACATTATAGAACCTGTGAGAACTCTTCAGTGAACAAAATAGACAATCCCAGTCATCCTATATTTTATTTATTTTTGAGACAGGTCTAAGCCTTGGTTGGCCTGGAACTCACCATGTAGACCAGGTTGGTTTTGAATTCATACGGACACACCTGCCTCTGCCATCCAAATGCTGGGTCTGAACATACACAGCACATGGAGAAGCCACCAGCGTGCAGACCCGGTGCTCTCCTTACTCCATTCCTTCACCATTCAACAGGCAGAGGGCAGGAAAGCGGCAAACGTCGTCCGAACTTACAGCCTTGCTTTGCGTCTTTGCATGGTCTGTGATCACAGCCAAACACCCAACTTGAACTACCTGGCGCTGCAGCACTTGTTTCTACTTCTGACTCCCTCCTGTTGCCCCACACTAGATTATAAAGCCGACGATGGCTGGGCATAATGCACGTGCCATCTGTCCAGTTAGGGTTTCTATTGCTGTGAAGAGGCACCATGACCACAGCAACTCTTATAAAGGAACATGTTTAACTGGGTGGCTTACATTTTCTCAGGTTTAGCCCATTATCATCATGGTGGGACCTGGTGGGGTGCAGGCAGACATGGTGCTGGACAAGGGGCTGAGAGTCCTACATTTTGACCCACAGGCAACAGGAAGTGGTCTGTCTCACTGGGTGTGGCTTGAGCATATATGAGACCTCAAAGCCCGCCTCTACAGTGACACACTTCCTCCAACAAGGCCACACCTCCTAATAGTGGCACTCCCCTTGGGGGCCAGCATTTTTTAAACCACCAGACCATCTCACAGGCCCCCAAACATTTTATAAGCCTTTTGTGTATGTGTGTGGTGCTGGAGTGATGGCTCAAAGGTTAAGAGTACATAAGGACCCAAGTTCAGTTCCCAGCACCCACATCAGGCAGCTCACAATCTCCTGTAATTCCAGTTGCAGGGATCCTACCCCTCTGACCACTGAGGGCACCAGCACTCTAGGGCACATACAAAATTAAAAAGGAATTTTTGTGTGACAGGGTATCATGGACCCCATGCTAGCCTCAAACTGGCTACACAGTAGAGGATAATCCTGAGCTTTCTAGTCTCCTGCTTCCACCTCCCAATGTCGAGCTAACAGGCGTAAGCCACAGGCCTGGTGGAGAACAATTTTCTACAAAACTACTACTTTGGAAGGTTAAATGTAGGAGGAGACATCTAGGAAGTTTCTGGTAGCTAGCAACGACCTATATCTTAATCTGGGGATCATCCACTCATTCATTCATTAATGTGGGTGTGGTGAGTGTACTTGTTTGTGTATGCATATATTCATTCGAATGTGTGAGCCCCTGTGTGCATCTGCCTGTGGAGACCAGAGGTTAACTTCAGGTGTCTTCCTCAATCACTCTTCACCTTACTTCATTTTTTATTACTGTGTGTGTGTGTGTGTGTGTGTGTGTGTGTGTGTGTGTGTGTGTGCTTGTGTGTGTGTTATGTGCTTATATATGCATGCTTGTGCTCTTGTGTGTGTCTGTGTGTGCTTGTGTGTGTGTTATGTGCTTGTATATGCATGTTTGTGCTCTTGTGTGTGTCTGTGTGTGTGCATTTGTGCATGTGCCATGGCCTGAGTGTGGAGGGCAGAGGGCAACTTTCAGAAGTTCTTTCTCTCCCAGGGACCAAACTCGGGCCAGCGGGCCAGCAGCTAGCCACTCTACCCACTGAGGCGTCTCACCAGCACCCCACCTCATTACTGGAGGCAGTCTCTCTCTGAATCCGAAGCTTCCATTTGGCTAGGCTAGCTGGCTGGCTAAGGGGCTTCAGGTATCTGCCTGTCTTCACTCCCTAAGGAATCTTGCTGCACCATCCTGCTTTCATGGGTGTGAGGATCTGAACTCAGATGCTTATTCTTGCAAAGCAGGTGCTTTTCCTAATGAACCATTTCCCAAGCATTTCCCTGTTGTTTGGTTTGGTTTGGTTTCTATTTTACTGTGCTGAGATGGAGCCAGGGCCCTACAAAAGGCAAGGGTTCTGCCATCCTGCTGGGGGTCCTTTTAAAACAATTCCCCTCAATCGTTCATTCACATCCTGGGCTTTTTATCTGAGTCTTATGCCCCACAAGGAAGAAAAGTTGAGAGAGATATTCAGAGGGAAAAAAAATCAGACCTTTTCAGCCAACACCCACAATTGCCAATTTGAAAAAGTTTCATCCCTTGGGAATAAAGTCATTCCCCAGAGATGCTAGCCCTTAGAGGTGTTCTTGATGTTGGGGCCAGAGAGATGGCTCAGTGGGTAAAGGCACTTGCTGCCCAGCCCAACAACCTGAGTTCAATCCCTGGGACCCACACGGTGAAAAGAAAGAAAGGAGTCTTGCAAGTTGTCCTCTGATCTCCACGGGTGTACCGTGGTATATGCACGCTAGCCCATAAATAAGTGAAAATGGAAAGTCAAGAGGCATTGTCTAGGGGCTGGAGAGACGGCCTAGTGGTTAGGAGCACTTGCTGCTTTTGCAGAGGGCCAGCACCCACATGGAAGCTCACAACCATCTGTAACTCCAGTTCCAGAGGATCTGATGCCCTCTTCTGGCCTCCATGGGAAACAGGCACACATGTAGTGCACAGACATCTATGCAGGCAAAATACCTATATGCATAAAATAAATAAGTTTTATATTTTATTAATATATATGACACATATGTACACATACATACATACAATATTCTCCACTCAGCAATGGAGGTACAGAAGCAAGACTTACTCTTTCTGAGTAAAATAAAATAAATTTGGGGTACATGCTCTCCCAGTATATAGTACCAGTACTTGGGAGGTGGAGGCAAGAGTATCCAGAGTTCAAGGATGGCCCGGGCTAAATGAGGCCCTGTGTCAAAAATACAAAAAAAGAACCAAAAACTCTGAGTTGGAGAAGCAGGGCATGTCCCTCTGGATCCAGACACTGCCCCCTGAAGACAAGACAGGTCTTGAGAGAGGAAGGCTGAGCACAGTGAGCCCATGGAAAGGCACCAGGGTTGTCACAGAGACAGAAACCACCTGTGGCTGGTTTGAATGGGGGGGGGGTCACTAAGGAAACCATGGCTTCCACCCACCTCACCTCCACCACGGTCTTGGCAGTTCAGGGAAGGCTGTGGTGAAAGAGATGGATCCATTTCCTGAGTGGCAGCACGGGCTTGTAATGCCAGCCAGCACGGGAGAAGCTGAGGCAGGAGCATCCTTGTGAGTTTCAGGCAAGCCTGGGATACATAGCAAGACTCTACTTCAAAACAAAACAAAGCTTGGCAGTGGTGGCGCATGCCTTTAATCCCAGCACTAGGGAGGCCGAGTCAGGCAGATCTCTGTGAGTTCAAGGCCAGCCTGGTCTACAGAGCGAGTTCCGGGACAGCCAGGACTACACAGAGAAATCCTATCTTGAAAAAAAAAAATCATGCTATTCCCAAGCACACCCATGCCCAGAGCTGGTCACCAAACCTGCCTCGCCATGTCCCAAGATTTACAGTTGTGATAGAGGAGGGAGAGAGGGGCCTCAGCCTCTCCGAAGCCTTATTTCCCCCTCTGACTCCTCCCAGTGCCCTACACCTCCCATTCCAGGGCCCAAGCCACAGTCCTCATTCTTCTGGAAGGGTCTCAGGTTGCACTATTTCTGATCCACCTGCCTCTACCTCCCAAGTGCTGGGTTTGGGACACCAAGACTGGTTTGTGCTGGGATCACCCTGCAAGCTAGGCTGGCACTCTATCAACGCCCTTCATCCCTTCTGATTTACCCACAAATGGGTGGTACTAAGAGAGGTGCAGTATCCAGAAGGAGTTGGCCATCCTGAGAGATTCACAGATAGTCTAAGGTTTGTTTGTGGTAAGTACAATATTGAAAAACAAGGGTCAGGTTGGCCAGATGGCTCTTGCTGCCGTGCCTGAGGACCTGAGTTCAATCCTTGGGACCGACATGGTGGAAAAGGAACTGATTGCTGCAAACAGTCCTCTGGCTTCCATATTAGCATGCATGCACACAATCAATACATAAATGTAACAATCATCATCATCATCATCATCATTATCGGTTTTTAGAGATAGGGTTTCTCTGTATAGCCCTGGTTGTCCTGGAACTCACTTTGTAGACCAGGCTGGCCTCTAACAGAGGTCCATCTGCCTCTGCCCCCTGAGTGCTGGCATTAAAAGTACGCACCACCACAACCAGTCCAATAAATTTTTTTTTCGAGACAGGGTTTCGCTGTGTAGTTTTGGAGCCTGTCCTGGAACTCTCTCTGTAGTCCAGGCTGGCCTTGAACTCACAGAGATCTGCCTGCCTCTGCCTCCCCAGTGCTGGGCTTAAAGGCGTGCACCACCACCACCACCTGGTCCAACAAAAATTATTTTTAAAGAAAATTGGGCTGGAGAGATGGCTTGGAGTTTCAGAGTTTTTACTGCTCTTCCAGAAGCCTCAAATTCAATTTCCAAGCTCCAACATTTCCAGGAAGATCTGACGCCCTCTTCTGGCCTCTGTGTGCACTTCACAAATGTCCATGCACTCCAACTCACACTTAAATAAAAATAAAATATACTTAAATAGTAATAATAATAATTCTTTTTTTTTTGGTTTTTCGAGACAGGGTTTCTCTGTGTAGCTTTGCGCCTTTCCTGGAACTCACTTGGTAGCCCAGGCTGGCCTCGAACTCACAGAGATCCACCTGGCTCTGCCTCCCGAGTGTTGGGATTAAAGGCGTGCGCCACCACCGCCCGGCTAATTCTTTTTTTAAGAAAGAAAATAGAGCATCATTTTAGACAGCATACACCAGTCATACATCTCAGGCAATGTCTGCAGCAAGGAAAACCTCACAGAAACAAGTCCAAAGGAAGGGCATCACGGGCAAAGAGTAAAGAGGGTGGGTGGTGTGGCTGAGGAAGCAGGAAGCCAGAAATTAAGTGAGGGGATGTTGGGCCTAGTTGTGCTTGCCTTTGCAACCCTAGCATTTTGGACACTGAGGCAGGAGAATCACAAGTTTTGAGGCCAACCTGAGCTGCATAGCTAGACTCTGCTCCTCACCTGATCCCTCCCATCACCAGAAATTAGGTGAGGGGCCAACAGAACCTTACAGGGGCACATGGAGTTTGAGGGCTAAAGGGGGAAGGGCTGGTCTTTATTTCTGAGCATGAAGAGAAACCTCAGGAGGTGTTCGGCTCCGAAAATAAAGCGTGGCTGAGCCAGCGAGACCTCTCAGCATGCAAAGGCGCTTGCTTCCAAGCAGATCGGCCCCAGCTCCGTCTCTGGACCCCACAGGGGTGGAAGAGGAGAACTGACTCCTGCAGGCTGTCCTCTGACCTTGCCAGCACGCACACACTTGTTTCGTTTGTTTAAGTGAGGAGCTGTAATCTGTGGGGCTGGAGTCTAGGCTGTGAGCCGAGGGGCCAGTGAGAAAGCTATTGCGGTAGCAATGGAGTGTGTCCCTCAACCAGCGCCTCCCGAGTAGGGAGGGGGTACCTTCCCAGGCAGGGTCCCAGTGGCCCAGCCACCTCTCACCTGGACCCGATCAGTGCTACCACCCCCTGGCCTTCGTCTCCTCCCGCATCTGGCCCGCCTCCGCGCGGATCCCCCAGGAATGTCTCTAAAGGGCTAATCTGATCATCTGACTCTCCTGCTTAAAACTTTCTCAATGGCTCCTCAGTGCTCTCTGAATAACCCCAAGCCCAGCCCAGACTAGGAGCCAGCCACAGCCCTTGCACCGGGTTCAGGTTTCTCTCTGAGAGCTCTGGCCACCGCGGAGGGCCACTCCAGATCCCACCCCCACCCCCCCAAGTAACAAGCCCCCTTGCTCTCTTCTGTTTGAAATTCTTCCTGTTTACCCGTTTCTAAAATTGTTACTTGTCTGTCTTTCCCACCCCCACCCCTGTTGTTGTGTGCTCATTTGTTTGTTTGAGAGGAGGGCTCAGGCAGTCAAATCTGACCTCGAACTCCTTACATCATTCCCGCCAAGTGTTGGGACTGCAGGTATGAACAACCATGCCTTTTCTCCTCTCTCTCTCTCTCTCTCTCTCTCTCTCTCTCTCTCTCTCCCTCTCTCTCTCTCTCTCTCTCTCCTTTTTCTCTTCCTCCTCTTCCTTCTTCCTCTCTCTCTCCCCCCTAAAAAAAGCTTTATTTTTGTTTTATGTGTTTTGCCTGCCTGTGTGTCTGTGCCCCCACCCTCACCCCATGCAGGCTTTGGTGCTCTGGAAGCCAGAAGAGGGTGCTAGAGCCCCTTGGAACTGAAGTGTTATAGAGGAATTGTGAGCTGCTATGTGGGTGCTGAGAACGCAATCCGGGTCCTCAGTGAGAGTAGTCGGTGGTTTGAACCACTGAGCCATCTTGCCAGTCCCCGAGCCACTGAGACAAGCACACACAGGGACTTAGTACAGGCAGCTCTTGAGTTATTCCTTGTTCTCCTCCTGCTTCTCCCCGCCCCCCCCCCCCTTTTCTTTCAGAACATACAAGATTCCACTGGGCCATGGTTTTGTTCCTCGGGTATCTTGCTGAGATTTTCAGCCATTCACAGTGATGTTCAAGACTGCGGTAGTGGTCTAGTGAGTGGTTCAGTCAGCACAGGCGCTTGGACCCAAGCCTGATGACCTGAGTCCAATCCCAGGACCCACATCATAGGAGAGAACTGACCCCTGAAGGTTGCCCTCTGACCTCCACACATACACCACGGTATGTGTGCAGCCCACACACATAAATAATAAATGTAATAAAAACGAGGTACATTTTATTGTATTTGTAAGTGTGTGTGTGTCCCTGTGTGTGTACTCTGAGAAGACAGAAGAGAGTGTTGAAGATGAAATTACAGGCGGCTGCACAGCCCTTGACTTGGGTGCTGGGAACCAAACTCTGGTCCTCTGGAACAGCAGCAAACACTCTTAACCACTGAGCCATCTTTTCAGCCCCACACATTTGTATGTATTTGTATGTGTGTGTGTGTGTGTTTGCGTGTGTGTGTGTACAGGTGCACAAGTGTGGAGGTCAGACATCAACCCACAGTAATCAGTCTCTCTTTCCACTTAGAGGGTCCTCGGCATCCAACTCAGATCGACAGCCGCAGGGCAGATGCCTTTACACTGCCATCTTGCCAGCCTCAAATACCTACATAGCAAAAACAAAACCAAAAATGTAGCAAGGAACCTGGCACAAAAATAATATTGCCTGTTTCTGGTCTCTGAAGGGTAAATTCCTGGAATTGCTGGGTTGCTAAAGCTCTCCAAACTTCTACTCACCTCAGACATGTACAAAAGGAACTGTTTATTCACACTCTTGCCAACAATGCTTGGCATGAATTTAACACACACACACACCCCAAAAGCAAAGTAACAAGTCTTTTTCTCTATCACATAAACTTTGAGAGATGTAGTTATGTTGGTCCCATCTAACAGGCTGAAGCATTGAACCTTCAGGTTCAATGAAACATGATTGCCAAGAAAGACTAAAGGAATGACATCCACTCCCATGGATAAACAGCTCACGGTCTCCTCCGTCCCCTGCATCCCCTCAGCACTTCCCCGAATCAGAGCGCTTCCCTCATCACACCCTCGCTGACTGATTCTGACCTGTCCCCTTGCATCAGACTATGAATTTTGACTCCATCGATCCAGCACCAAGGACAGAGCCAGCCCACAGTAGGTGTTCTGATGAAACTGGTCGGGTTGCGCTCCCGGGGCTTACCATAAAGGGGGAAACTGAGGCTCCGAGAAGAGAGAATTGGTTGCCCAGGCAACCAAGGGAAAGCGGGAGTCAGGCTCTATTAGGGAGTGCGGGAACACTCTCAAGCTTGTATCACTCACTGTTCCGTTCGTTCATCTCCATCTTTGCCTCCTCCAACCCTCCTTCAGACCTAGCAGCCCAGCACAGTGCCTGGCACCAGCAGGGCTTGATAAATGGCTATTTGTTGAAAGGATGAATGAATATGTGTTATCTTGTTGGGAAATGGAGGAGGGGTGGTGAGCTGGACCCAGAGTCCCAGGCTTGCAGCCCCCTCTTCCCTCTGAGGGTCCAAAAGACAGGCCATCAGCCCCTTCCCCTCCCAGGATTCAGAAGCCGAACCGCCCTCCTTCTCGGCCCCCCAAGGTCCCTGGCCCTCCGCTTCCGGCTTCTCAGCCAGTCTTTCCTCTTCTAGCCTCCGACCAAACACCGGGTTTCCGGGGGGAAGGCTTAGGCTGTAACACCGAGCCCAGCCTCCTCCTCCACCCCCCACCACGCTCAGCCCCCTCCCTCCCCGCCACCACTGTCCGCGATCGCCCGGCAGCAGGGAAGGAAGAAAGGAGCGCAGGAGGCGGAGGTAAGACCGGCGCCCAGAGACTAGGGCGAGCCCCGGGCCCTGCGCGGAGCAATCCGCAAGGCCTCGACCCGCCGGCCCAGTTCTGCAGATCATACCTACCCGGAACAGATAGCCCCCTCTTGGACCTGGGGCCCCCGACAGCCTGCAGGCTCCACGCCCTCCCCCGACACCACGCCCGGCCAGGGGTCTGGCCACAGCCATCTCCTCCCTGGGGATATTCTGCAGCCTAGCTCCCAGCCTCCTCCTCTCCCTTGTCTTGTGAGTCAGGGCCCCCTACCCAGCTTCTTCCTTCACCCAGACTCGCCTACCTGCAAGAGTCTAGTTGTCTATCCTGTTCTGTCTGAGACCCAGGAGTCCTAGCCTTCAGTCTTCCTGCCGGAGACCCAGGGATCCAGGACTCAGCACTCCTTCAAGCCCAGGAGTTCAGACCCCAGCCCTCCTCCCTCAGACCCAGGAGTCAGCCTCAGCCTCCTCCCTCAGACCCAGGAGTCAACCTCAGCCTCCTCCCTCAGACCAGGAGTCCAGACTCCAGCCTCCCCCCTCCTCAGACCCAGGAGCTTAAGCTGTGCTACTCCTTGGTCCCTCCCAGGCCCTGACTTTTGGGTCCATACACTCCTATTTCCAGGGCCTCTTGACTGAATCCCACCCCACTGAGGCCTCAAGGGTGGACTGGTTCCCAACCCCCACTGAGAATGTTCAACCCCCTGGGCCCTAGAGCAAAATCAGTTGGCTGACTTTATCTCCCTGTGTCTCCTGTGTATTGTTCTGTCTTCCTGTCTATCCGCCTCTCATCTCTATGTCCTCGCTCTCTCTCTCTCCCTTCCATTTCTCCTGGACCTCGTCGCCCTTTCCCACTTCTCCACAACTCTCTCCTCTCCTTTCCCGGCTCTGCCGCCTTCGGCCTCTGCTCTGTCTCTGCCTCCTCACCCCCTGCCTCCCCTGCCTCTCCCCTGTCTCCTCTTCTGGACTGAGGATCTACCCTCCTCTCGCTCTCCTCTGCTCTTCACCACACCCACATCCTTCATCTCTTCTCCCGACCCCTGCCTCTCCCCCTTTTCCCCACAGGCATGGATCCACAGCCCCCTCCACCTGCCCAGGGCAGCCCGCCTCACCGTGGCCGAGGCCGAGGCCGTGGCCGTGGCCGTGGCCGAGGCCGTGGTCGTGGCAGAGGGGGTGCTGGAGCCCCTAGGGCACCTCTGCCCTGCCCCACCTGTGGTCGCCTCTTCCGCTTCCCTTACTACCTGTCTCGACACCGGCTGAGCCACTCGGGCCTCCGGCCCCACGCCTGCCCGCTGTGCCCCAAAGCTTTCCGGAGGCCTGCCCACCTCTCCCGCCACCTCCGCGGCCACGGGCCCCAGCCCCCGCTGCGCTGCGCGGCCTGTCCACGCACCTTCCCGGAGCCGGCCCAGCTCAGGCGCCACCTGGCCCAGGAGCACGCAGGTGGCGAGGTGGACCTGTCCACGCAGAGGGCCGTGAAGGAGGAGCCACAGGACGAGGGCGTGGAGCAGCCCTCCACGGCGGTGGCCGGGGCTGCGGAGGAGGCGGCAGCAGTGTGGCCCGAGACGTGGCCCGTCGGGGACCCGGCCCCGGTGGCTACCCCCACGAGTACCGATCCTCGGGAATCAGAGGCCGAGGAGGCCGAGGCCGGGGCAGCGGAGCTAAGGGCAGAGTTGGCACTGGCCGCGGGGCGACAGGAGGAGAAACAGGTCCTCCTCCAGGCCGACTGGACGCTGCTGTGTCTCCGCTGTCGCGAAGCCTTCGCCACCAAGGGGGAGCTCAAAGCGCACCCGTGTCTGCGCCCCGAGGGCGAACAGGAGGGCGAAGGGGGACCCCCACCCCGCCCCAAGCGACACCAGTGTTCCATTTGCCTCAAGGCTTTCGCCAGGCCCTGGTCCCTGTCGCGTCACCGGCTGGTCCACTCCACCGATCGGCCTTTTGTGTGTCCAGACTGCGGCCTGGCCTTCCGCCTGGCCTCCTACCTCCGCCAGCATCGCCGCGTCCACGGCCCTCTCAGCCTGCTGGCCCCACTGCCCGGGGCCGGCAAGAAGGACGACAGGTCCTCAGCGGGACGGAACTCAGGGAAAGGGCCTGAGGGGGGCGAGGGGGCAGAATGTGGGGGCGCCTCGGAAGGGGGCGAAGGCGGGCAGAATGGAGGAGATGCCACCCCAGCCCGGCCCCCGGCGGGGGAGCCACGCTTCTGGTGTCCCGAGTGTGGCAAAGGTTTCCGACGCCGGGCCCACCTGCGTCAACACGGGGTCACCCACTCGGGGGCACGCCCTTTCCAGTGCGTGCGCTGCCAGCGGGAGTTCAAGCGACTGGCGGACCTGGCCCGCCACGCGCAAGTCCACGCCGGGGGTCCCGCGCCGCACCCGTGCCCTCGATGCCCACGCCGCTTCTCCCGCGCCTACAGCCTACTTCGCCACCAGCGCTGCCACCGCGCGGAGCTGGAACGGGCGGAGCTGGAGAGGGCCGCCGCGCTGCAGGCTCTCCAGTCCCAGGCCGCACAGTCGCCCCAAACTCCGCCGCTTAAGCAGGAGGCGGAAGGGCTCCCTCTGTCCATCGCACACATCAAGGAAGAGCCGCCCTCACCTGGCACCCCACCTCAGTCCCCGCCGGCTCCCCCTGTCTTTCTCAGCGCCTCCTGTTTTGACAGCCAAGACCACTCAGCCTTCGAGATGGAGGATGAGGAGGTGGACAACAAGGCCCACCTACGCGGATTGGGGGGCTTGGCCTCCTGACCCTCACATCCACCCTCCGCCCCTCCGGTTGAGCTCCCGGTTTGCAGTAAGGAAGAGGGAAGCTGAAAGAGAGATACCTCCTCTGCCTACCCCTGAGCCCCGGGTCACTCACCTTCCCTTTTACCTACCCCTAGACCCCTGATGCTGGTTAGGAAACACTCACCCCAACACGTGTCTTAAGTAAAGGCAGGACAAGGCGGAGGGCGCTTGGCCAGAGGGATAGAAACTGGTGGGTTGGCCCCAGCCTGCCCGTCCCCCATGACAAACACTGGACACCATCACCTCTTTGGAACTGCCAGACCCTGGGAGTTCCCAGTGAGAAAGGTCTGCCCCCGTTCCTGTGTCTCTGTGAATAAATGTGAGTTCGTGCAACCCATGAGTGAGGCTGTCTGTGGAGGTGGGGTTTGGGTGAGTCAGGATTTGCCCACGCTTGGGTTCAGAACAAGGATGCTCATACACCAGATCCCAGGAGGATGTTCTATCAAAGAAGCAAGAAGTCCGTGCGTGAACCCTGGATTGAGAAGAAAAGTGTGCTAAGACAGAACGCCTTGATGACCGCCCTCAGGAACCCCTGCGTGCAATTTAGCAGATCAGCACGGTATGCACTGTTCTCATTTCTCTAGGGCAGATTTCTAGGCACAGAATTACTGCTCCATGTGGGAAGTCTACAACTCCCTTTCTTAGAAAGCTCTAGATGTATTCCCAAATTCCTGTTAACAATTGTGAAGGTGCCAGTCATCTCCATTTTCCTGAGGAAATCCGAGAACCAGATATGATCTGAGGTGGGTGTGGTGGTACATAGCTGCAGTCCCAGCATTTAGGGGGTGGAGGTAGTCGAAGCAAGCATGTGACTTAGCCAAGGCCACACGGCAACAAGTGGCATAGCCAGATATGGCCCCAGGCACGGTGACTCCATGGCCCATATTCTTAGTCCTTGTTCAGTGATTCACTCTTAACCTTCTTCCTTCATGCTGGACTGTCTCATGGAGCCCTACACTGTGCAGAGCATGGTCCTGGGTGCTCTTCATTCTTCTGTTGATGAAACACAATCCTTTCTCAACGTGTGGCTTCCATTCTAGTGGGAGGACATGGACAAGAAGATGAAACAGTTGAGTGATTGGAAAGCATCTTAGGGCCAGTGAGGTGGCTCAGTAAAGGCACTTGCAGCTGAGCCTGAGGACCTGAGTTCAACCCCCGAGACCCAAATGATGGGAGGAGGAAATTGACTCCTGCAAGATGTCCTCCTACAAGCTGTCCTCTGACCTCTACACACTAACCATGATGTGCGAGCATGCATGCACATACACACTCACACACATACACACACACACAATAAATGAAAATGTAAAAACCATCTTATTAGGCCAGAGGTGGAGAAAGATGATACAGGACACAGAGAGTAGGAAGCACAGACCCATAGAAGCAGGCTTGAAGGATGGAGTCACAGCAATCACTGGGATGTGTCTCAGAGGGAAAGCACAGCTGTACAAAGGTTCAGAGGTACAGATGTGGATGGCATGGTCAAGGAGCAAAGAGACCAACTTGCCTACAGAGGAAGCAGTGCGGAAGAACAGGGTGGGGGCTGAAGAGATGGATCAGTGGTTAAGAGCACTTGTTGACTTTGCAATGGACCCAAGTTGGGTTCCCAGGACCCATATGGCAACTCACAACCACCTATAACTCCAGTTCCAGGGGATTCAAATGCCTTCTTCTGACCTCCACAGGCACCAGGCACACATGTAGTGTACATACGTACATGCAAGCAAAACACCCATACATATGAATAAATCTAAAAAAACAAGAGTGGAAGGAAGGAAAGGTAGGAGGTGAGCTCTGGGAGGTGATGGAAGGATTAATATGGACACTCTTAAGTCTTCTAGTGAAACAGGGAATGGTAGAATACCTCGTGCAGAAGCCAGGATTCGGTTTTCTCTTTTCTGTTTTCCACCGTTCTGTGAAAATCTTTAAACAAATAGGAAACTGAAAGGATGGATGCTGGTATCCTAGAGCCCAA